CGTTTCGCTAAACGGTCGGCTGAAATTCCGCAACACTTCGGTCCATCGAAGATTTACAGATTGAATCCGCGATTTCAATCGGATTGCCCCCGGAGCAAACCGGAACACTCGAAAACCGTTACCAGCGATCGTAATCTCGCCGATCAGAAGTTAATCGAGTGCGTACAGGAAGCAATGACTCGTAAGGCAAACGCGCAAACACGGTCGCGTGCCGTTTGCCTGCCTCCTCTCTCTCTCTCCCTCCACCCCTTTTAGCTCTTTCTCCCCTGACCTTTCCCATCGTTCCCGTGTAAGAGACATCGTTCGTAACCGTGCGTCACGCTTGCGGGGGTACGGTCCGTACGCGAGCAAACGAACCGGTAACGTTTCCTCGTACCTAGTGAAAACGAGATACCCGTGAATCGTTTCGCGGGGATGAAAGTGGGGGCCCGGAACGCCCCATCGTTCCCGATGATGCTGCGAGGGGTCGTCACCCCAATTCCCTTTCGTGCGCCACCCTCGTAATTGCGCACTTCGGTTCGGTTTATAATAAAGTCATCGAGCAGACAACACGTTCCGAATCCTCCCCTGTCTGTCTCTCGACTTTTTGCGATAGCGGGTCCGCGAACGGATTATCGGGGCCATGGACCATGATGCAACGCGGTGTCCAGTCGCAGGTGATCGTTTCGGGATGCAAAATGTTCGGGAAACCCGGAATGCTTGAGGTTTCAGGGATAAGACGAGGTGGGAGCTACGATTGCGGAGCTATTCATTAACGATCCAATCTTCGAAGATTGAGAAGAGTCCAATTTTATCAATTAGGAGAGGCTGAAGGCGTTGCCACTTGGAGAAAGCCTCTCTCCCTTTTTTTCCTCTTCTCTGCCTGTCGCTGACTCGAAGAGGGTGCGAAGACAATGCCGGTTTCGCGAACAATGTGAGGTAACAACGGTCATGATCACAGCGTGTTGCCCCGCGAGAATCTATCTGCTAATTGCTACTGTGCGCGCGGTGTTGCGAGAATTGAAAGACTGTTGATAGGAATCTTTTCCCCCGGTTGGAAAAGTCACAATGCTTTCGAACTGAAAAGATTTTGTTTACTATAGAATTTCGGGATGACGTGGGATATTACTTTACACGTAATTGCTCGTGATTCAACATCAGATTTTTTTGTGAACGTTAGTGAAAGGTGACGCATAAGAAACGAATTTTGATGATCTATGTTCAAAGAATCAAGATTCTGGACCTTCGACGCTAGCATTGAACTTTCCCATCTCGACGTACCACTGGAAACAGAAAATTTCCTTAATCACTGTACATCCAATATTCGACAATATCATCCCTGAACACCACTGAAACAAGAACGGACACTATCCGAGCTATCATTTCCCATAATTCTTCGATTCCCCGACGAACTAGTTCCCCAATCCACCAGGGATATGTTCAGGTAAATTTTCACGCTGTAACACGCCCGGGGGCTGATAGAAGGGGTCCCTAATCATGGGAACCTCGAGTGGCAGCATATGTTCCCGCGAAACGTTCTCGAATGGGGGGAGTCAATTAACCACCGGTTGGGGTACGAGGCGGGTGTGTGGGAATCGAGTGATTTTTAGAATCAACAAACATAAATCAAGTGTTTCCTCGAGCTGGCTTCGTCGCTGCCCCCCTCGGCTGCGGGGTGAGCCACGACCACCCACGGGTCTCGCTTGTATCGCAGGACAGAGGGTCGAACGGCGGCGACAATTACGTGTTTAGAGGGCGCAAAAGGGGTGGCACCCGTGGGACGATCCATCGGACCGTGGTGGCGCGTGCCACGGCAATTCGACGATACGAGGATCATCGCGCGGACAGTGGAGTACATTATACGTTCGCCGACTTTCGATGACTCCTGTCCACGGTTATGACTCCATTGTGTCGGCGAGTGGCTCGCGAGGGAGAGAACGGAAACGGGACACCCACGTCACGGGACATGGCTTTCCATTCAGCTAATCTTCGAAGGATAAAACATCGAGTAGTGGGATATAAGTGTGAATCGGATGGTTGTGTTTTACGGTCATTTAAGGAGCAAGATTGACTTTTGTTGATGGAGTCATTATGTTATTAAGATTTGGATGCTTGAATGTTTCCCAATGAAGTTCGCGTAATGTTGTCATCTGTGTTTTTAAGGTGACACTTCAGTTCATTCATTTCGATCATTTTTTAAGGTTGTTTTGATAAGTTTGAAGGATACAATATCATCGAGTAGTGGGATGTAAGTGTGAATTCAATGGTTGTTTTTTTAGGGTTACTTAAGGAGAAATACTGGCTTCTATTGATGGAGTCATTATGTTATTAAGTTTTGGGTGTTTGAATGTTTCCCAATGAAGTTCGCGTAATGTTGCCATCTGTGTTTTTAAGGTGACACTTTAGTTCATTCATTTCGATCATTTTTTAAGGTTGTTTTGATAAATTTCGACTCGTTTAGAAGATAGAGAAGAAGAGTAAAGGAATCGGAAGATTGGAAATTAGAGAGCGGGGGTTGGCTTGTATTATGCAGGAGCCGTTGAATAATTGAATATGAGGTTTGGTGACTGCGTAATAGGGATATTAATCTTCGAACGATTGGCAAATACTGGATCATTCTGATCTACCGTCAAAGTTTAGGTATACTTATCGAGGAAAAACGTTTAAAACGTATTTATATCCTGTTCTTTTGGAATGCGTATAGAATAAAATTTTCTATGCGAAATTACCACCTATGTACATGTTTGACAGACTCTACATTATTGTTAATAAAAATTGCGTAACCAGTATCCATTACTATTCTACGCTTGCTAGCTTGTCTAACTTATTTTGTCTCCAATACTATATAGAACACTGCGCAGTTTTCGTTTCCAAGCATGCAGTACCCCAGAAAGGGAATTTTTCTCAAGCCTGTTGCATTCTCGAGATCTTTCTCAATAATTTCAATTTCCCACTTTGCCCAGAATACTTTCAGATTTGAGAATAGCACAAAAATTCCAACTTTCCTCATAATATTCGAAATACACGTGCAAACTAAGGACTGCGGCAGGGTTAATATTGCGGCAACGTCAGCTCCAAAACAATGAATAATCACACTCGATCACCAATTAAATAATCATTTCCTCACCAATCTGGCCAAGTCCGTAGCCGCGGCGGGCACCTCTTGATCCTGATTCATCCTCTTCTCCCGCAGCTTCCCGCGTTACGGTTCCTCGCGAGCGTTTGTCACCAAGCAGCCCACAAAACGATTCCGATACTGATAATCCGATCGAATTCGACGACGAGCCGTCGCTCGCGTTCCACCGGGGTCACGTTGCTGCACTGGCAAGATCAAAGATAGGACTGAGACGAGTGATTTGATCTCGGTGAACAGCGAAAAGACAGGGTATATGCATGAGGGGGTTGTGTCTACGGTACGTCTACGCCCACAGCGTGATATAGAAAGCGGGTCTGCGCGAGCTACCCTGACTAGGGGGTTGCTTCCAACCCCTGCTTGGTAGGCGGAGCCTCAAAACCATTGGTGACCTTCTCTCATCCTACGAAGCACCATGCCTCCAGAACACCTATGAGAACCTCTACTCCTCGACGGTCAGGCTTTTCAGATAATCTTGCGAATCGCGTCTCCGACGTTGCAGCAATGCAAACCTGAATTGCACGTGCAGCTGATTGTCCATGGAAAGATTGGGATCTCTTTTTCACGGAAGGATTGTCGCTTGAAAGTTTCATTGATTCGATGATCCAGGACGAAATCGAGTGCCGGAAACCGGCGTAAAATATTCTGATAAGGTATACACGTTGAATATGGTATTATTAAGTGAACGTTAATCATTTTCTAGGTAGTCCTCGAGCGCGTTTAGCTGCTGTTGCTTTCGTACCGGTATGGTTTTGTGAATGAATATTAATTGGATCGTAGTTAATAATGAATTCTGTTGGTTACGGGGGTTGACACCCTTTGTTTACGTGGAAATTCGTTGCCTGTGGTCGGCGATTAGAATACCGGAAGTATACATGATGATTTTAGTTTAGTATTCGCTTCTGTTGATAATCATCTAATACCAATGTGTCTTCTTTGCATTGCGATATTTGATTTTAGCTAATTCAACGATGCTGTTGGGCATTCGAAATGGAAGAATTGTTGCGTTCATTTACGTATGATACTTGTAAGTAATCGCGTAAATGTATTATTGATTTTGAAGAGCGTTTTAATTGTTAATTCCATCGGACGATTACGGCAATTATCAGAAGTTAATGCATCCAAGAAAGTAATTTGATTTTATGTGATCGAACAAAGTAGAGAGATGTTTTATCCAGTGTAGGAACAACATCTCTATAACCATCTGAGGCTTATGATCGACATAACATATTTCTGACATGAATTTAAAGTACGTAGCGTGTTTCTTTATTCAGTATGTTTATTTACAATGTTCACTAAATTATAATGTTGAAACATTTTTATCCACCGACTTCTATGACGGCTTGTTCCTAACTAACTATTTACAAAAAAAATATCACGGATATTAACAAAAGAAATTTAAAATGTATAGTTAAACAATTTCTAATATTTTAATTTCTACTAAGAAACAGGAATTGACTTTGTCTACAATCTACGTTACCGACAGATTGGCTGCACTTCGACTAAATCAATGGGAAGGACTTTTGGCGCCAGTTACGGCGAAACGCCCAAACCGATCAGCAGTGTTTAACGGATCGTCGTTCTTTTTGCGGTTAGTTTTTTTATTTTATTAAATATTTCACTGCTACAGCTTAACGTTTACCGTTGTCTGAAATCCTTGCAGAGTATAATAACAAACAATTTCACATCAACATTATATATTTTCATTAACAATTCGGTTAGAAAATATACATTTATAGCGGATGTAGTGTACGTTTGTTATTAACTATCGACAGACTAAAAAGACAATAATTTAAACGTATTATATCATTTCTGAAATCTGTAGTAAATTATTTTTAGCCAGCAGATTCAATTTTTAATTGTAATTTGCCCTTTCAATTACTTTTTCACAGTTTGATTCAATTTTTTACGGTTTTTTTAACGGTAGCTTGTCGTACCGTTCAAATAACATGAATTAAAATTCAAATGACATACCTTGCAACCCCTCTTTTAAATAAAGGGGATGACAACGAGTTGTTGGCGTGTGGAGGGAAATGAATTCATAGCGGGAAACTGCAGTACTAACGATTTGCAAGAGAAATGTATCTTATATATGTGAATACAATGTCGTGCTCTACCAATGGCAAGTCCGCGTCCAGCTAGATGGCATTCTTGTGCCTGTGTGCGCGTTTCAATACGGATTCAACGGTACGAGTGTGTTTTACGCCGCTAATTTACGATTGCGCTTTCGAAGAAATGTAAACAATAATCGTGGTTCTCGTTTTGAACGATCAGAAACCGTGTAACGCCACGGAAAGGTTGAATAAAGTGTCAATGAAGGAAATGGCACAGTTCGAAGACAATATAAACGTTTAATCGTTCGGTGTAAAGTTTGTTACGTACGAACTGGGTTTGGTTCTGTGCCCGAGTCTGTTCACGATAGCGTCGTAACCTCTTTCTCGGATCTCACCGTTTGGAGAATTCAGGTATTTTCAATTGGAAGGACAATGGTTGGTTTATGTAACATTTCCGTGCGATATTCCACGAGAGGATTGTTCCTCGTCGTGATGTGACAGCGTACGAAACGGTTAACGCGAGATGAGGTACGCATAGGATACTGATTATGGATTATGACTCTGCGTCGAGTTGCGAGAATCGTCTGAGAGATTTTGATGCTTCAGAAGATTTGCCGCGCTTGAGAGAGTTACGAACGATTGATAATTCGGTGTGCACCTCGGGTTCTGCGCCATGGCAGAGTCTGCAAGTGATGGCTTCACAGCCAAAGCTGAAACTGGGCATGGTAAACAATAGCCTCTCCAATCAGGTAATGGAATATTATCAAAAGTATTCACAGAACACGAATTTGGATCAATACTTTTCGTTGCCCCCGACCAATACATCGCCAGAAGCCATTAAATATTATTACAGCATATATAAGTTAAATCCAAAACTAGCAGCTGGCAGACAAGACTGCATCGGAGAGGAATATAACTTGCGTTCATACGTGCCTAGAGAAAGAAGGAGATGGGTAAGACCTCCCTTAATAGGTCAGTCCTCGAATACAGATTCGTCGACTAGCTATGTTCAACCTCTCTCGAATTCGGAATCGCCATCCCCTGATTTGAAACGCAACACACCTGAAACAATTTTGGAAGAGAAGAATGAGAATCCAGAACTTCTAACAGAGACTGTAGAGCGTAAAGTATCTTCTCCAACTTCTAGCATTGCCTCTCACAAACCACTTGAATGGGACAGTGGTGCGGATGTTGGATACTTCCACACATTGCCCCAGAATAAACAAGGTGACAAAAAATTAAGTACTATAGAACGCATGGCTTTAGCTAGAGGTTGTTCAGCCGCTTTAAGATTAGATCCTGAGGGCACCACTGAATCCGGAGTCTCTGGTAAGCTTGCAGGAGCACAGAGGAACTCTAAAACTGTTACACCTGATGCCAACTCCACTCCCCTGTTGGGAAACATTTCAGGTTCTGAAAGTGAAATCGAGATCACTCCTATAGTAAAGAATCATTTGTCAGGTATAATAGCAGGGAATACTATAAATTCCAATGAAAGGACATTACCAAAAGACTTCAAACAACAGGACTCTCCTTTACAAACTTCAAGAAGGGACCAAAACAATGATACCCCCAAATTGCCATTTCCTTTCAAAATCCCCGCGGTAAAGCAGACAGAGGTAAGACGGACGATAAGCAAGCAGTCCACGAACAAGGAGAACGTGTGCCCCCCAGCCTCACCGTTGAAGAAGAGTACATCGATGAACACGTTGATCATACCGGCGTCAAAGTTCACGCTGAAGAGGAGCCAGAGCGAGTTGAATTTGCACGCGAAAGACAAGAACCGGGCTGGGTTGCCGTTGATGTTCAACTCATCTTCGTCGATCGCCACCATTGTAAATAAGCCCTCCACTTGCGACAAAGTGATACAGACGAGTCTGAATGCGTGCAGCCAAGAGTCCGTCGGCGTTCAGGTCTCTGTTCTCGACGAGGAGAAACCGCCGTTACCAAAGAGAGGAACTAGTTTACAGAAGAGCATGACCGTGATCATGAAGAACTCCAGAGATACGTACAAGGTCCCAAGTTCGAGGAAACAGCGAGTCAACGAGACCAGCGACACCAACAGGCATATCAGAGTGACCAAGACGCGTCGTAGCTGTTCGGAGCCTTCTCAGCACGGCTCAGGGTCGCAGACACCTCAACTGGAAGAAGTGGAGAACATAACCGGTCGAGCAAATAGCTTCGAATACTTCCCTGGACACGTCTACGAGAATGTACTGAATGGAAGCGGCAGTCATGTCTCGTCAACGGACACCGGCAGGTCTCAGTCTACACTGCCGAACACCAGCTCCAGCATTAACGAGAAACTCTGGGGCGATTCAGATAGTTTAGTCAGGGACCTAGAACGTAGTGTCAACATTCTGAAGAGCTTGGTGGATGCGAACAAGTGCGACAAGGATGTGAGGAAAAGACTGATTCACCATGTGGTAAAGAGACTGATCACCGCCAAATACACCGACGATAAGATCGAGCATAATTTAGAGGATAACGTACCCTGGAATCCGGACCATGCTAGGAACAAGGTATACAGGGCGGAGATTCTTCAGGCTCTGACGAAGAAGCACACGACGAGCGACTCTTCGGGGGATTGGAACACGCAGAAAGGAGCCGCGTGCGGACGCAAGCCACCTGGAAGCGGGAGAGTCATTGCGAAGAACGTTGTTTTAGGAAGCAGTAGCGATAAGATCGACAAGAATACTGACAGAACGGAGACCGATGGGCGAAAAGCAAGAATGGGCCTGAGATCCGATGATTGTCGTCGAAGTACCAATACGGAGCCGGATAAGAGCGAGAGTTCTGAATGCTTCTTCCCGCAAAGGGGTCGCAAAACTAACAAAGACTTATTCTGCGTGAAGGAGAGATGCAAGATGCCCAGCATATCGAAGCAGCAAGACTCTAGTTTATCGAACAGTACGCCAGACGATCACAACAGGATGCTGCTGGACGCGGTCTTAAATCTGAGGAGGTCGGGAAACGTTCGTTCCAGCAATACCGAAGATCCAGTGGGATGGAGGCTGCCAGCGACCTTGTCGGAAAGACAGTTTGAGATGAAGAAGTGTGGGAACTCAGACTCTGCAGACTCAAAATTGGTCAGTTACGCGGATATGGAGAAAAGGAAGCAGTTGATTTGGATCACGAACAAGATCAGTTATTTATCGAACTTGAAGAAGCTGTTGGAAGAACCGCGGAGGGTTGAGAGACCCAGAATATCACCTAGGAAGTCAAGGTCAACAAACTTCAAGAAACCACTTGCTCCTTTGAGTCGTATTCATGGTAGGGAAGATGATTACCTGCGAAGCACAGAGTCTGATGGACAAATGAACTCCATGGATGAACCGTGGTCTTCCCACTGCAACCTTGTGTTTCGACCACCTAGTCGAGCACACAGTATGATTCAAAGGGTCAAGAAGCGAAACAGCTGCGCTCAAACAGCGACCAATGTTACCAGTGCCCACTCGAGAACTGGCGGCGAGATCGTGTCCGCTTCGAACATGCATCACTCTACCATGAAATTGGTGAACACCGGTGTGCAGACTGAACCTCAGGAAACTTCGACGATACCTGCTTTGATACAGTCAGAGATCGTGCACTATATCAAGTGTCCAGCGCACAACGCGATGCACTTCCAGAACAGCTACAAGAACAACATGGATAATCAATGCCCTAAGCACTGTGCTATTCAGAATATGGTGTCCACATGCGTGTACTGCCTCCAGGAACAGAAGGATCAGACTAACAGTGTGCAAGTGGTGCACGCGAACACTGAACATTTTAGAGAGGACAGTCCCACGGATTCGCAGACGCAGTTGGAACACGTTAATGGCGATATCGAGAGCTCTACCGAGGCCACTCGGCTCTGTGTTAATAAAGAGGTCAGTCAGCTGAAACAGAAAGAGACTAAGAATCAAATAAACGCCTCGAAGACGAGGCACACTTGCGACTGCAAGCACCAGGCCAAAAGACCGATGTCCAAAGGGTGTCAGACGAGTTCTGCCGCTCAGACACTGGAAACGAATAATGGTCCTAAATGTGAAGATTGCCAGAAGAAGGTGTATTGTGCTCAAGAGAGGGACGAAGCGAATGGCAAAGGGTGCAACTGCACTACAGCCTGCAACTGTGAGAACAATCAGCCAAAGAAAAGCCGAGTACCATTTAGAGCCAACCCGAAGTACCATCAGGAGAGCAACGGATGCGCCTCGAGCTTCGAACAGAATGGTTACACAAATTTATGCGAATGCTCGGCTGATTGTTCTTGCGAGAATAGAGCTGGCAAGGCTCTGCACAATGGTACTCGCCATTGTGGCCATTGGCCAGAAGAGGACCGTAATGTCCGCGTTCGGCCTCGATACAACGGGCAGCCTGAGAATCAGTACAAAGCACAAAACTCAAAATGCGATTGCGAGAAGGATTGCTCGTGCCACAATAGACCAGTGAAACACAACGAAGAGTTGTACGGCAGGGGCTATCCAGAAGCGGGCGACGCAGATAGGAGTTGTAAACACTGTCATCGCTGTAACGCCAACACGGCTACTCAGACTTTGAAGCAGCCTAGCTGTCAAACTTACCCGAAAGCAGTCGCCTACGAATTGTCGTTCACGAAGGAGAAAGTGCCATTACCGAATCGTGTTGTTAACGGGAGCAAACCTGATGGCTGTGTTTGTAACATGGTGAAGAAGATTAGTCCCAGTAAGAGCTCGCCAAGGAAGGATACCTTACAGGTAAGGGTTTCGGTGCATAAACTACTACTCAAAGTTACCATTTGAAATAATATTTTATTCTATTCTGATTCAAGGATTACCTGACCAGGAACAAAGCGGATTTCGTAAGCAACGCGGAAACGCGCAGGCAATATATGTCGGAAATATCCCACCTGCGGCAGCTGCGAAAAGAGAAGCGGATTCAACTGCTAGCGATGGCTACCACGTCGAACATACTTAAATCGCCGAAGCCTTCTACGAAACCGACTGGTAAGGTTGCACTCTTGCTGAAGAAGAAACTTTTCCGTATGTTCCAATTAGGGAAATAAATAATTCTGCTTTCAGTTTGCACGCAGAAGCGGGTGAGCGAAGAGGAGATCAGGGAGAGACTGAGGAAACGGTATCTCCGTTTGAACGAGGTGCGCCAGAGAAAGCGGCAGCAGGAGAAGCAAGAAGAGACCCGACGGAACAAGCTGATGGCGAAGATCTTTTGCAAGAAGCTGCAACAAAAGGTACTAAGAGGTCAGGTGGATCTGTCCCAGAGCGTCAGCGTTATATCCAACATGTAAAGTCCAGGGACTCGTTGACGACTTGCCTAGGGTTACAATATCAATCAGCGAATCGCAGCCCTCCGACTCTCGACCAAGGATACAGAAACGTACAAAATGGTTCGCCCCTCGCTGCGGGAGGGGCTAATCGAATCTCGTTTTAGAAGACACTTCTATATTCTATGCGCGCATAATACGTATTAACATTTCATTAATGTTTATTCCAGTTTCGTTCGGTTTAAGTTATTAGATAGGTGACGCGCGTTCGTGTTTAACACAGAGCGAGTCGAGGCGGGAAATTTACGAGCATCCCGTATAGCGTGTCTAAGAAGTCGAAGTATTATATAACGCGTCGTTTGACAAGATCTGTGCCTAGAATCTGCCGATATTTATATATATATATACATATTATATATATATCTATATCAAATATAAAGAAGTTTGTCTTGCCAAGTTATTTTCATACTAAGAATATATTTAGTGAACGTTGCGCACGTACGTTAGATACGGTGACAAGATAGCGGGAAGTCGAAGGAAGACAATGGAACATTTTCACGGTGTCGAGGCTTCGCATTTTACTGGTAAAATATCCACGAAGCCTGCCATCACGGGGAAATGTTCCGGACCGTGTGCCCGCCGGTTCCATGGGAAACCGAGATGCTTTAAAAACAACGAAAGTAGTTGTTAGTACCTGAATCACAGTACACAATCCCTTTATTCATTATAAGACTTAGACACGATACAGTCCCCCGAAGTTTTCTAATATTTTACCATTTTGTATGACGATTATACCCGTTCGGTTAATTAAGAATAAAGTGAGCCCGTACAATAAACGTTTCTCCGATTTTTTTCCACCGTTATGCACATGCGCCATTCGCCGTTTTACACAAGCCGTTCTATCATAATTCTGTAAAAAGATCGGAAACCTTTTTTGTATATTAGAGCGAGGAACGCGAGTGATTTCACTTCACGCGTTCCATTTTCGTTAGCTTAACTTCTCGTTGTCTTACAGAGATTACCCGAAAACTCGCGGTCACTTTTCTTCTTATCTTTCGTTGCTGATGATTCTATGTTGAATCCTATTCTTTTTTAATAATTTCCCTTGCATTAGTCAACAGGTTTTGTACACTTCAGAACGATTCCTTTCGAGAAAAACGCCGCTGTAACCTTGTTCCACTAAAGCAACGCCGAAAGAAAAACCGCTTAACAACATTAGCTCGTTTCGTCTTAATCGCTGCCCGTTGTATATAAGAACAACCAGGGTTTTCGAGCCAGTCGATCTGTTCGCGAAGACAGGAATGTGTCGCGTTTAAACGAAAGATAAGAGCTTGTAACTTGGCTTGGATGCCACGGTTACTCTTCACAGAATCGGTTCTAGCGTCTCTGATCAACGACCATTACAAATAAATCTAGAGGTCGTAAGGTATAATCGTTCTGCGATCAATTTGATCAGCCAAATCAGTTCTCGAGTCGCTCGGAAATTTAAATCCTCGAAGGATGGCTCTTCAGATGGAAGATGATGCAGATTTGGAGCAGATTCTCAGAGAAAAATTCACGAGTGAATTTCGCAAAGGCTACGTCACTGTGGATGGCGTCTGTTTGCCACAGAGATACGAGGAATTCGCGAAAGCGATTGAGGATTTTGAAGTCAAGGACGACGACGTGTGGGTCTGCAGCTTCCCTAAAACTGGTACAGGTCCCTTTCTTTATATTCTCCGATTTTTTAAAATCAACCATTTAAACAAAATTCAACAGTCTGAACATGTTTTAAGATAAATCAAGGAACTGAATATTAAATTTTTCAACCAGGTACAACGTGGACCCAAGAAATGATCTGGTGCATCGCGAACAATTTGGATTTCGAAGCAGCGAGAGTCCTCTTGCCGGAAAGATTTCCATTTCTGGAGTAAGTTAGAAGAATTTTGAACGTGTTCGTGAAAGGTAACGCGCGTTTGCTTCCAGGCATTCGATTCTCTTCGATTACACGACGATCATACCTCGTCATCCGGAAATAAAGCTTCACGAGCTGGTCTCCGACAGCGTGAATTACGTGAAGACTCGGAGCAGTCCGCGTTTCATCAAAACCCATCTGCCATTCCGCTTGCTACCGCGACAGCTACGGACAGGCGAGAAGAAGCCGAGGATTGTCTACGTCGCTAGAAACCCAAAAGACACCTGTGTCTCTTATTATCATCACTGCAGATTGCTGGAGGGCTATCGCGGGGACTTCAATAGCTTCTGTCGTCTTTTCCTGGGCATGAAAGGTACGACACTTAAAAGAAAGCATAGATCAAGCTTAATCTTCTTGTTTCCTACCTAACAGTGTGCTTTGCGCCATTCTGGGACCATATCCTTGGTTTTTGGAACAGGAGAACTGATTCCAATGTATTATTCTTAAAGTACGAGGACATGAAATCTGTAAGTAACGAGAGAATCGCGTTTAATAATTATTTTCATATCAAAATGAACAACAAATCCTGTTTTCTGCCGAGTGGTCTTTAAAAATGTGAACTTTTATGAACACCCGCAGTCTAGTTTTGGATTAATCTATTGGTAAGAACGCTTTCTTGGAATATAGGACTTGCCATCGGTGATTCATCGTTCCGCCAAGTTTTTGAACGTGACTCTGTCGGATGATCAAGTGAAAGCGCTGATGGAGCATCTCAGTTTTGCTAATATGAAGTCGAATCCCTCGGTGAACTACGAGGAAGCGGTCGAGATGAATCGCAAGCTGAAATTGATCGACGTCGATGGCGACTTTATCCGAAGTGGCAGAGTGAATCAGTGGCAGGGAGAAATGGCTGAGAGTGTGATCGAAGAGTTTGATCAACAAACGACGGAACAACTGTCATCGCAGAATCTCTTCTTTTAAATGAAAGAATAATCTTTCGTACCACAGTAATTGTTTAATAATTCCATTGTAAAGTCTTCGATTCCAGCTCGACGCTACGAAGAATTCTAGGCATACTGGTTCTACAGAGTTCCGGGATCGAAGCTTTGGTTTTGGGAGTGACGACAGATTTATCGCTACCCCTTTCCATCAAAACGACTGCCGTGTCCCTTTTCCTTGATAAAATGGCTAGCTGAAGAGCCGTGAGACCTGCATTGTCCTTCGTATCTACTTCAGCACCGCGGTCCAACAAATATGTCAGTATATCCAAATTCGATAGATACACTGTACAAATAAAATTTAATTAACAGCCCCAGCAGATGTAACAATTAAAATGAAATTTTATAAATATATCAAACCCGCAATGTAACAATGATTTTTCTTGATTTTATTTACCAGACACCATAAGAGGCGTTCTTCCTTGCAAATCCTGCTGATTTAAGGATGCACCAGCATCCAAAAGAAACGACAAGTTTTTCGAACGTTCTCCGACGATTGCGTATTGAAGACAAGTCCAGCCTCTACTGTATAATATAATTATTTCAATAATTGTCAGTCTTAATAGTAACTTAATATTTTCTTCTTACATATCAGTTTTTTGAAGATCAGCGCCCTTTTTCAAAAGCACCTGCAACATCTCCGGATCTCTCGAAACGTAAGAAGCGTACATCAAAGCGGTCCTCCCATAAGGTTGCGTGATCGTTTCATCCAGGTCCGCGGAATTTTTCTCCAATAACAGAGATAAAATTTGGGGATCGTCGCGATCGATAGCCGCAGTCAGCGGCGTACTCAAATTTTCCGTAGGGTAACGCAAATCGATCGTTCGGCTGCAATTACAATTGCAATTATGTCGACACTATCGTGTTCTCGAGCTGTGTTACTCACTTTTTCGACAGGAAGTCTTTAATCTTCCTGAATTTCGCGAATCTGAGCAGCCATATGAATCGTTCTTCCACTGAATCTGCAAACACATTTTACCCTGCTGTACATTTTCAGAAATACTACATACAAAATCCATTGTTCACCGATTATATTACTCATCTTACCACGTTCGTCATCGTAAACTCCCATGCCCGACATAAATGCGAACAATCCTGCTAGCAAAAAGCTTTGCACCGGAACTGAATCGATCAAACATTCCGCGCATGCTGTTCTGTACATTCTACAATCCTAATACTCGAAGCATTGCGATTTCTCCGCCTACATTCCTCCGAAATAAATATCACTCTGCATTCATAAATATTCCTATCATATTCCAATATTTCACTTATCGAATCACATCGAATCCCGTTCATGACAAAGCAGCCATCGAAATCTTGCCGACATTATTCGAACTCGTTCATTGTCCCGATGCAATTGTTCTTATTCTCCAGGAGCTGATAAGAAGTGACTCATGCGGTTTCCGATCTGGTCGATGCAGTTGCTGCACCTTTTTCCTACAAACTCTGCAATAAACGGCCTCGAGGCGTTCGGTAGCCTCGCTTTGTTTACTTCCCATCCCGACGGATCATCCGGAAATAAAAAAACTGGGCCGCAGGTATCGGCCCTTAGTCATTCATGAACCTTTCCCGTTCGTTCCCCCGCGGCTCGCATTCCGAGTTAATGGCCACGGGAAGGACGACAGCCCGAATGACATCGACCCGAACCGTTCGCGGACAGCGTGTCCGATCCGGCCGCCTCTTGGAACACGCACACTTTCTCCTCGACACGCGGGAACACGTGCCAAGGTAGCCGGGGAACGGTATACTAACCGTTCAGACGCGCCAAGTCGACTTTCTAGAGGCGCAAAGCCGTTCAGAGCGAGTCGGAACCGCGTCCATTGCGGTGCACGTCGCTCGTTCCACTCCCTGGTCACTTTTTTCGGGACTTTCCAATCGGGATTTCGTGTTTCCATGCGCGTTAAACGGAACGGGATCGCGCACGGCAAGTTTCGGAACGGTTCCTGAGAGGTTCGGGACGACTCGAGGAAGATGAAGCGATGGCAGATGTTACGAGGTGGTGGATAACGCGTGTTCTCGCGGCCGTGCTGGCATGCGTGCTGTTTCCTGCCAGTGGTACGTTGCTCCTAGATCGTTTTCACGCGAGAAAATCTGTGATTTTCGTCGGCGCGCGTCGACCGAGCGATCGTCGAGCGGCGAACGGTGTCGAGTGACGTTTCGTTACCCAGCGTTGAAGTCTCCGTGCGTCACGAGTGACTGATACAGTTTTCGGGAATTTCCGGGCAGAGGTTCCTCTCGATCGATGGAATTTCTTTGGTCTTTTGTGCCTTGGATAGTCGAATAATCCTTTTCTACTGTTATCCTAATTGTAAATGCTTCAGTATGTTAACATCCTCATAGAAACGTATTTTTCTACGCTCGCCTTTTACGAACGACACTTTAAATCGAATCAGTTTGAACGGAAGAACCAAAGTTTAAGAGTATTCTTTTCGTAAGAGAGTTTTGATTATAGTTTGCAGCACCTTTCGAACGTAAGTGGTTAAATGTGTCCTCGAATATCCTACTGCGTGACGCGAGCGAGCTCAATTAGCGATTTGAATAGCAAAAAATTGCGGGGCGAAGTGGAATGCAGTCGGAACGCGGTGATCCAGTTCTCGCGAATGCTGCACAGATTTCTTTTTCCCCTTTCTCTCGCGGTGGCCCTGATGCGAGACAAAGAGTTCACGCGGTTTCACGGTCGTCAATGAGTTCTCCCGATTACTCGTAACGGGACAATTAAGCGTTATTTATATGTAATTATAATAAGACCACGCGATACGTGACGAGACTACTTAATAGATCCGTGAGTCACGATTGAATGGTCTTGAAACAGGTTTCGCCGAGGAGGAGGGTGAGGTGTACAAAGGCAAGTACCTGGGCAAGTTGAACGCGTACCATCATCAGGTTGCCGGTGACGTTTACGTTGTCGACGAGTACACGTTGCTGCTGACGTCTTTCAGTTACGATGGGAACGGGGCTGACACGTTCTTCTGGGCTGGCGCGGCGAATCGGCCTGGACCACAGGGCTTCATTGTGCCCGACGAATGGGGAAAGTCAGTTCATGCTTTTACAATGCGCTAGAACAATACTTTTAAGGTCCGGAAAATTATATAACGGATTCTTTGTTTCAGAACGAACGTCCTCAATCGATACTTAAATAAGGATTTCACTCTTACTTTGCCGGACAATAAGAAAGTGACGGACATAAAATGGTTCGCCGTGTACGATCTAGGGAGTCAGGTATTGCGAGATTAGTAACGAAGTTATTTGAAATTTCGTTTTAAATGACGATGAAATTTTATTTCGAGGAATAAACCTTATTTTAAGTAGCTGCGATTTAAATATCTTTCGAGGAGTATAACAGGGAATTATTGAATTGTTCAGAACACGTTCGGCGATGTCTATATTCCCGAGGAATTCGACCCACCAGCACCGCAGAAGATCTCGCAATTCACGAAACGGTCACATGGGGTTTCCTCCGAATCTTTACTGATTATGGACTCGAAGACTATCAAGATACCTGAATTCACCTATGATGGAGAAGGAACGGATACTTATTTCTGGGTTGGGCTTGGACCTCAGCCATCTAGCAAAGGAACTAAAGTTCCTGATGAGTATGGCTAGTGAGTATTATTCTTTTTTTCTGTTACAATAAATAGTATTTGTTTGGTAATCAATTTATTTTATAACTTTTGTACAATTTTTTTGCGGCCTGTTCGCATGGAGACATTTTTCCTCTTGTATGCTTCCAGTTTAGAGCCAATACGGGTGTATAAGGGTGAAGATATAGTGATTCAGCTACCCGGAGATATGACAGTCTTCAACATCGACTGGTTGAGCGTGTTCGACGTGAAGAGCAAATCGAATTACGGCTCTGTTATCATTCCAGACGGCTTGAACGTGCCGCCGTCCCTCGTAAAAGTAACATATTCTTTTAATTCCTTATCATACCCGCGATTAGACGCGATAGTAGCATTGAACGACCGATCAAAGTACAGGTGATCAAGCACACGCAAACCCTGCCGAATTGCATTCAACTCCACAAACGGTTTCAAGTCAGCTGGGAGATCTTTGGTCCTCAGATCACTGTTCAGTTGGCTGGGCAAGTCGGTAAGTTGCTAATCATTTGTTTCTAAATATTAACACTTTGTATATCTGTTAATAATCTACTCAAGCTATAACAACTCTATTTTAAGGTGTTAACAAACCCTTAGTTCTTTAGTTCTAAATTCTACTTAGTTAAGGACTCGGCAGTTAAAGTGTTCAATACAATTTGCATAATGCTAATGATTTTCAGACGAAAATGAGTATATGGCGTTCGGACTTTCCGGTTCGGAGACTTCGAGCCGAATGGAAGGTGCGGACGTTGCGGTCGCTTATATGGATGGGACCAGAGGATACGTCGTTGATTACAACGTCACCGCGAAAGCACCAGTAAGTATTTCTAGAAATCAACCATAGATTAGATAGAATAAATTTGCTTGTGTTCGGAACAGTGCGGGAAAGTTCTTGGACAGTACAGAGGAGTCTGTAGGGACGAAGTGTTCGGTGGTCTGGACAACAATCAGCTGTACACCGCTGTCAGGGCAGACGGGATCAACATAATCAATTACAGGCGTACTCTAAACTCTTGTAAGTCTAGGATCGATGATCAGAAATCGAAGAAACGAGAACTGAATCAAGAATCTCTTAAATTACAGCTGATCCGGGAGATAAAGAGTACCCTACAGATCGACCTGTTTACATAGTGTGGGCTCTGGGTAAATTGGATGAGAACCATGAGCCTACTTTCCATGATCTATACCCTAAGAACGACTTGAAAGTGGAACTGGGTCGATCAGAGCCTGAGAACACTTGTATGGACTTTACTGAGGACGACCAGTCTCTAATGTGAGTAAAAGACTTCTATGAGATACATTTATAACAGAATAAGAGTTAATTGGGATTGTCCTTTTTTATTAGAGAGCCCTGGGACAAGGCGGAAATATTTGACAGAAGCATCAGGACATTCAAAGCTACCATTGGCCCGTCTGGAGGCAAAAAGGGTTACCAAGGGATAACGAAACAAACTGCCACGGGTTTGGCTTGGTACATCGAGGGACAGTTAGTTCCTGAACTGTACCTCCGCCGGGGGTTAACTTACAATTTCCGTGTTCACGGAGGCAATAATCCTCACAGCCCGAATCTGTATCATCCGTTGATCATCACGGATGAACCACACGGCGGCTACGATAGGCTTAGCGACGCGGCGCAAAGCAAAATCAGGGTTTTGGCTGGCGTTGAGTTTACTAGACGTGGTCAACCGAGACCTACCGCTGGTTTGTCGAGCCATTAATCAATTTCTAATATATTAGTGTTGAAGAAATAATGTATTACAGATGATATTATAGCAATACTTTATTGAATTGATTATATGGAGAATGATTTATATATATACTGACGATGAACACTTCTTCCAGTTGGTCCACTCTGTTTGAGCAAGCACGACGATCGAGACAGAAGATTAGACGATGATTTCTTGACATTCAGACACTTCAATAGAACGTTAGTGCATACGTGCGAACCAGGTAAAGTGAATATCGTTGCTTCTGCGCTCTGTGACATTTGAAAAATGTGTAATTCGTTGATAGGCGAAGGTGGACTGTTGGAAGTTACCCCGAATTCAACGTGGCCGGACACAGTTTATTACAATTCGTTCACCCACGCCAACATGGGCTGGAAGATCCACGTGGTGGACGCTTACTCGAGGAGCGACGCTATCTCGCAAAAATTGTCGTTCCTCGTGGGACTAACGGCTGTGTTTTTTCGTCTGTTATAAATTTAGATATAAGTTGTTGTCGAGATTAATCGCTGCTCCTCGCTATGCGAACGTTCACTGACTGAGATGAAGAGATTTTCGATTGTAGACCGTTTAGTTCCTACACGAGAGATAAAGGAAAAATTTCATCTGTACGCGTAGAATGCTAACGTCATCGATCATGCACTTTTTCGTCTGATTTCTTAATATTTAATGGTAGTTTATTTATCTTAGCAGCATTCGTAATTTCATGTTTCACGCAAGAAATTAATGTGTCATGGAAATAAAACATCTTTTATTTATAGTAGGTATATTTATAGCCTCGTACTTTATATCATACGTTTAAGTTCTTTTTTACGATTAAGATTGGAATTAAATGTGTTGCGATAAATAAACGCATGTGATTATCCTACACTATCTTTAGACTGTAATATTGTTATTATTTCCACCAGAAAATGCGATAATAAAATACAGTTATTGACCACTGTGATCCCACAGTAGCGCTTAATTACTCTTATGAAGAAACCATCGAAAATTAGAAAAAGTACCCAAGAAAAAGAAAGTCTTCGTTTCCTCTTGCTGACCAACTATAGATAATTACATAGGCGTTGAATTACACAATTAGAATTGAGATCGTCAGATGACGCGTTTACAGTTTGCACGAACGAAATTTGAAAATCCCGAATAACCGCGCGTGCAATTCGATGAACTTCAATTATTCAATGCAAAATGTAACATAAAAATTCGTTACTCCTTTCGCTCGAAAGAATAATTATACTTTATTTGTTCGTAAGCTGAAATTTGTCGCGTGACCTGTATCGAGCTGCGTTCCGTATTCTCTCATTTCATACCGAGAACACATCCACTTTCTCCGAAAGTGAAATCTCGGCGAACGAGAAAGCGAATAGAATAAAATGAGGATTCAAACGCGTTATTAACGGATCTTTCATTCAATTATCATTCTTCCTCTCAATAGAATGACACTCGAGAGACACGTCGCAACGTGTCGAACATAACAGTACTTACTACGTCTCAATGCCCTCATTTTATATGGGAAACTGACAGCTGAGCCCTCCGCCAAGCCGAAACGATTTACGATCAAGTGGACGTTAAAGTTCCGGAATCGAAAGTTGCTCCGGACGAAGAAGAGAAAAGAGAGAAAAAGCATCGGGATACGAGCACTAGGAGAAAAGGCTCGTGGACATTTCTGTGAAAACTGTAGCCGTACAAACATCTCGTCCATCGCAAGAGGAACGTGTTCATCGGATCGAAACCTTGGATCATCAAGTGGGTGGTTATTTAATACAATCACGAGACGAATATCTTCTGAAATCGAAATTCTTTATAGTGGAGAAGAAGCCAATTACTTTCACCACCATCGAGGGAGACGTAGGAGCGAAGTTGGACAAGATATTTCAAGTGAAATGCAGTTTCCTCAGGGTTCAACCTAGCAATTGCATACTGCCCCCTCACTTCGTGTTCTATGGGAGCAGGATACGGGACATGGAGGTCTACGAGGACGACGTGTGGATGGTGTCATACCCACGAACCGGTGAATACATATAAATCATTTAATTCCCTTTATTCAATACTATTCTCCAAATGTGCATATGAATATTCTCCCTTTGTATTCGCGCATCGCAGGCAGCCACTGGGCGCAGGAGATGGTGTGGTGCATCGGGAACGATTTCGACTACAAAAACGCGCAGACTTTGTTAATCGTACGCAACCCATTGCTCGAGTAAGCATTCGTTTCTTAGTAATCGTAGAACTTTATCGTCGCCATATAAAGATTTCCTGCAATCAGAAGATCGTACAATTACTACACTGAATGGAATGTTGTTCGTTTAAGGGCCTCGAGCCTAATGGTCGCCGGAGATTACGTGGACTTCTTCGCGAAATTAGGGGATTCGGTGAAGAACGTCGAGAACATGCAGCGCCCCAGATACATCAAGACTCACCTCCCTCTGGAGCTGTTGCCTCGACAGATCCACGAGAAGAAACCGAAGGTTCGTTCACGAATTATCTATGAAACTGTAACCTCACATTCACCACGCGAATCTTTCAGATCGTCTACGTCTCGAGGAACCCCAAAGACACGTGCGTCAGCTTCTACCACTACTGCAGGACGTTCCACGGCATGAATGGCAGCTTCGACGACTTCGCTGAATTGTTCCTGACAGGCAATTGTGAGTGTGAAAAGGTAAATCGTACGGGACAAAACGCGTTTAATCCGTTTTATTCGTTATTAGCACCGATGGGATCGTACTGGGACCACGTGTTGAAGTTCTGGTCGCTGAGGAACAATAAAAACCTGTTGTTCTTAACATACGAGGAAATGAAAAAGGTACACGCGGGTTATTTCTGGGTGGCCGATGACGCGGCGCGGCGTAATTAGCGTCAGGTGTTCCTCGATCGTTGCGTTTCCAGAACCAAGCGGAAGCGATCGAGAGAACGGCGAGATTCCTCGGGAAAACCGTGACGAAGCCGCAGATCACGGAGCTCTGCAAGCACCTCGAGTTCTCCAAGATGGCGGCGAACCCCGCGATCAATTTGGAGAATATCCTGCGGGAGAAGGACGTGCCGCAGGACAACAGGTTCATAAGGAAAGGTAAGGTCGGCGATTGGAAGAACTACATGTCCGAGGGACTGGCCAGGCGATTCGACGAGTGGACCGAGGAACGTCTTCGCGGGACCGATTTAGATCCCGACAAGTACACCGTGTCCCCCGACGAGGAATGAAATCAAATAAAATATGTAAACCGCGATCCGCGCGAGCAGACCTCGCGCGGGACCCAGTGCGTAAGATAATTATGCTCTCTCTCTCTCTCGGTCGTCTCGCATCGTTGTTATCCGTGATCGATGTGTAACGGACGCATTACATAACGACGCGCGTATGCAAATGTATCGCGCGCTGACGCGCGTCCCGCCTCGCGATAAAGAAAAATATATATCGGACGATTAAGGGAAAATGTCCGCGTGACGTGTACGCGGCGACGATTAATTAACGCCTGTCGCTTACGCCGCCGCGCTTGGACACGTTTTGTTCCCGACGTGGGACTGGTTTTCTATTAATGGTCATTGATTTCGAATGATTCGGACTCCTATGTTCGTGCGATTAAATTGTTAACTTGTTTACACGCGGCGACGGAGCTGAATAAAAGCGACTGGAATGGAGGTTCGTTTTTTTGTACAAAGGTCGGCAATAAAGTTGAATGTTTATTGGAGAATAAATATTTTAGTGGAAGAAATCTGTTGAGCGTATTTGTTGAAACGTATAGATGTATTTGTTGGGTGAGATTCGGATGAGTATAAATAACTAGACGATCCGTTATTTTTTAATGAGACGTTCGGCTGTGAAATAGAAGACGACGGGGAACAGTGGATTTCGAATAGAATGGAACAGCGATTCGTTTCGTTTATTTGTTAATGTTCGCGCGACGAGAATCTACTTGTCGTCGCGTCGCCGGATTTGAGAGTCGCGCCGAGTCCTCTTCGTCCCGACACGCACGACGTTGGATGTCAAAGCAAAGATGGCGTTGATTCGTGTTGTGTCAGGTGTTTAAAGTTCCTTTAAAATCCATCCGGAGTCTGACATTGCACGCGGCATTGACACATCGGCCTGTAATTTACGCCGTTCACGGTCTCGTCGGGGATCATCGGCTGGGAAAGAAACGAGAACGGGTCTGTCAAGAGTCACGTGTAACGTCGGCCGCTGGTCGCATCTCCGCGCTTAACCTAAGCAGTCGCAAGTGCTGCACGAACGTTTCTCGTATAACCCGGAACATCTCGAGATACACGGTGACTGATGGTATTCTCTTTATCGGGAAATATATCGTGAATTTTCGTCGGTCGAGCGGAACACGTCCGTCAAGACGGTACGTTGTCCAACGGGAGAAAATATTGAGAACGGGGATCCCAGAATTCTCTGTATACGAAATTCCTCTCTCCTCTCGGCTTTGTTCGCCAAGTGTTCTGTCGTTTTCGAGCTGCTGATTATATTGGATTGAATGCTGGTGAATTTGACACCCGGGTGAAATGCCTAAGATAAGAACCAGGCAGCCGAACAGCCTGTGGTTAAGGCAGCGTGAACTGGGCATAAGGTTTCCACTAGGACATGCTGATCGCTTTCATAAAACGCTCTACTCTTCTATACAGCCAGTGACCTCTTGGGACCACGCACTGTCCCCTGCTACTCACGGCGGAGTCTTTAACTTGGAATATTCTCCGGATGGGTTAGTGTTGTCAATTGTTCGGCTCTAAGTTTTCGCTGGTATTGATGCACAACATTGCAACAAAGTATTCGTTGGCAATATTGCGCGTCAGCAGTAATTTGGTGTGGTTACTTGTTAGAATAATTTAATAAGAATGATATTATACTTTTATTGTTTTATAGTTCACTCTTGTTGGCGGCATGTGAGAGAAAGACTATTTTAATGTTCGATCCCTTGAGGAGGAGATTGATCCATGCGATAGAAAATGCTCACGACGATTGTGTCAACTGTGTTAGGTGTGTAGTGTCTACTGATTATTGATACTTGTATGTACTTGATGCTAATTATTTTATTTGACAGGTTTCTAGATCAACGTATGTTTGCGACTTGTTCAGACGATAGTACAGCTGCTCTTTGGGATGCCAGGAATTTAAAGCAGCGAATTAGAACTCTTAATGGACATACAAATTGGGTTAAGAATATAGAATACAGTCCCAAGGATAGCTTGCTGTTAACCAGTGGGTTCGATGGTAGTATATACACCTGGGACATCAATACATTTACCGAAAATAGTATTCTCCATACTCGTGTGTTTCACACAAATGGACTGATGCGAACTAGACTTAGTCCAGATGCTAGCAAGATGTTGATCAGCACCACTTCTGGATACCTCATTATTATACACAATCTTAGGTTAAAAACTCTGTCACAAGATCTAGCAGGATTTAGAGTACGTTGAGCCTATCAATCACGTTATCCTTAATTTTCACATGTAACTCAACAGTCTGTCTCAATTTCAGCCAAACATATACCGATTGATGCAATCCTCTCAAACCACGATACCATACGTCGCGGGCTTCACGCATCTTTTCTCCCATTCCCGCACTCACAATCGAGTAGAATTCTTAACCGATTTCCCAGTCGGCGACGACGCGGAGATAATATCCAGCCTGCAGGTGCATCCTCAGGGATGGTGTGCACTGTCCAGGAACGTCAGCAGCGGAGAAAAGTCCGAGGTTCGTTTCCAAACATATTACTTGCCCCAATTTCCAGTACCCTTTATACCGCAATCCCTCAATCGCAACCATTCTCATCTTAGTGGACGTGCATCCACGACATACAAGAGCGCGACTCCAACTCCGGTGACGAAGGCAAAGAGGGCGAGGAGGCTGGTCCCCAGTTCAACGACGTGAATGTGGACGAATTCGAGGACTTCCAGCAACCCCAGCCGTCACGATCAGGTATCACGTCATCGTTTTTAATCGAGAGTCCGAATCGCGTCAGGGTGCTCCACACGACGATGTCCGACGCGAGCTCGAACTCGCACGGTTCATCGGAAAACGCGCAACCGCCTAGGCCCTGGAGGACCGGTGGACAAGGCTCTTCTCGCAGAGTGTCACGGTCGCAGTCGAGAAGTTCGCGTTTCTCGAGGAACTCCGGTTCATCCGAGTCCCGGGTGGGTGGCGATAGGGAAGAGGCTAGACAGGAGAACAGGGATCTCTACATGGACACTAGCGAGAACGAGAGCATACACGAGGAGGCCGCCATCGACACGGACAGGGACTTTGTGCTGGACTTCAGCACGCCGCGACCAAATTCACTCGTGAATTACATAAGACCGAACATGATCGACAACTTCCCGACGGGCAACATAGAGCTGCACGTGAGCACGACGGACGTGTGGGAGGCTCACGTGGCGATCAGGGAGGCCAGGCTTCGGAGAGAGCGGGACTGGCTCTCTCGGTCGAGCAACAACACCGTCGTGATTATAGGTGATAGGAATAGGGTACAAACGCAGAACAGACAGGGCCAACAGACGATGTACGCGATACCGAGGAATCGAATGATTCACCAGAACAGGCCTAGGTTAACGCACTACATAGAAGAGCCGAATGTAGGTTCCGGTTATATTAAAGAGTTGTGTTTCTCTGCCGACGGACGGTTGATATGTTCACCGTTCGGCTCCGGTGTACGGTTGCTGGCGTTCTCCGGCGACTGCTCGGAATTATCCAATTGTGTTCCTCCGTTCGAGTCAGTGCAGCTGCACGAGCTGGCGACGAACGTCAGCCACTCCGGGATCGTGGTCAGCACGAAGTTCTCCCCTAGGCATTGCTTGCTCGTCTCCGGCTGC